TCACTAAGAGAATGGAATACAGAATAAAATCATTAAACAATGAAAACAAACAAAGTAAGGGATAGTAATGCTGTTTCAAACATACTATTTCGATGTGCAATTAGGATATGCAGGAAGGATAGTGATGCAATAAATAATTTACCACTGAATATAAAGCTACTATCACCATTGGTTTAAAAGTCATAGCTGAAGTAGCTGTAGGCTTTTCCAAGGTCTTGGGGAATTAAGAGATACCTTACACTCTGACAGAGGTGATCTCACTTTAGCTGGGGTCCCTTCTTCGAGATGAAGACAGCGGGAGATGCCCATTCAGTTGCTGTCATAAAAAAAATGTGCCAAGTTCCCCCCAAATCAAGAGACACTCATACTAGCATGCGAAGGGAACTGGAATCCAAGCTAAGATGTGAGGAGGGAACATGGACGTCTCAGAGAAGGTGAGTCCATTTCTGTTGGTAGGAAAACCGGGAGGAGCCACCTCCCATCAGAGAAAAATGGTAACTAACATAGCACCAAGGGGGAGACTATGCCTGGTACTATGTTCCTCAATGGACACTTTTGACCTAGTTTCTCTCTAGACCTTGGTGGCCTGGCCCAGGTACTACCAAAGCAGGGACTGTAGACTCTCTTCTTTTGAAGTGCACTGTATCTTTCTACACCACATGGACTCAGTGAATGTGGAAACCCTACAAAGTGAACTGTGCTTCTAAACTCTAAAACTCATCTGAAACCCTTGGACTGCAGGCTGGAAACTTCCAAGGATGAAAAGAGGCCAACGACTGCTATACCAGGGGTACAGAACTGGACTCTGACTTTAGTTCAGATCTCTTGCTCTTACGGTCCCCAAGGTACTGTGGTTTGGAACTACCAGATACCTACACTTTTAATGCCCTCCTTGTTTGATTATGAAATGTATTAATCTGGTAAGAGTGATTCTGCCACTGGCAATGAATATTTTTGAAAGTTTTGCCCTATCATCAAGCCCCATTGGTTGTGTAAATTGTGTTCAGTCACTTAAGAGTTTAATCTATAAAAATCAACAATTCACATATTGCAGTTCGTAGTTGGATAATTTCATTTTCTCAACTGTGTTTTAAATTCTATACCATTATCTAAAATAATGACACTTCTAATTGAATCACCTCATGCCATAGGGAAACGATTGACAATGTTTCCTAACATAAAACTCAAAGGATATCAATAAGTTGAATGAGAGACATATATAAGCCACAGATGTATGAATGCATTTGGGGTTTGCATTTATTCTAGCCACATCTAAGAATGATTCATTCTTATGACATGGCCCTGCTTGATGATCACCCTCATGAAGATATCACTGAAGAGATCCGTGCTGTAGCCCAGAGTGGCAAAGAAAGCAGATGGTGCCCAGAGTGGCAGCAGGGCTTTTAGAGCTTGCCTTCGAACAAGTAGCATTCTAAGTGAGGGGTCAACTAAGTCCACATGGAAGAAGCACACAGCCAAGGATTTTAAAGAATACAATCCAAATTTAAGGCATGGAATGACAGCAGAGCTTAAATAGCGAACACTTGGTTTGCAGAAGGCTATGCGTGATAGTGTAGGCTCAAAATCCACTCGCAGGGTCCACACATGGGTTTAGCCATTGCTGAATCCCCTCTGATCATAGGCCTGTTATCAGAAAGAGAACTTTGTAAAGTCGATTATCTGTAGATATAGTTAAAATTCAACATCTTATCATTTGATCTCCCTTTTGAGCTATTTTAAAGCTCTTTCAGTTTTTTTAAAAGGTGAAGAGGAAGCATTTATGTTTCGTGGTCAGAGCGGGTGAATCTGCTCTGACCACAGACACGGGATGTGAACGCCTTGCTATCATGCAGTGTGCACTGGAAAGTGAAGTACTGCAGGTGCAGTTAGGTGAACACTTAACACCTTATCATTTTAATTCCCTTTTGACCATTTTTAAAGTTTTTTCTAGTTTTTAATATTTTCTCATTTCTTTTAGACTGGGGGTTTTCTATTTTACTTTGTTATTATTGTTGGATTATTTGGGTGTGTTTTCCTGTATATGAAAACCAAGATAAGTAAACAGAGAGCGACAGTAGTTGGATTGATTGTTTCTCGGGAGCATGGCAGGAGAGACTGAGGGGAAATGGGGAACTCATAGCAATGAAAATATGAAAGAAAAAATACTCTAAAATTGATTGTACAACTCTTCTTAATATGAGTGAACAATTGAATTGTATGCTATGTGGATTATATGCCAATCAAACCATTTAAAACTAAAAAAGAGATGGTATTTCCCACAAACTTTTAGAAGCCCCCATGTATATATGTGAATCAGGTGCTCCAGGACATGGAGAGATTAAAGATAGTGACAGATGGTTTGCCTGATGCAGCCAGGATTGCAAGTTAGCAGGGATGGGCACAATTTATCAACAAACAAAGGGATGAACCATCCGTAGGAGGAAGGGCTCCCTTTCTGTTAAGAGAGGAGGGCACAGGGAAATGAATGGCTACAAACTCGTTTCAAGTAGCTGGTGGGAGCTGTGCTCTACACTGGGCAAGAGAGAGAGACAGTGAGACCAATAGGTTTTTTTTATTTATTTACCTTGGATAACCCATGTATTATCCAAGGTAAATAAATAAAAAAAACCTATTGGTCTCACTGTCTCTCTCTCTCCACATCTTATATCATCACCATAGTAAACCCTTGGCCCCTCCTCCTAAACCACCTCGCAATTATCCTGTATTGAAACTGAAGTTAAGTAGCTTCGCCAAAGTTAATTGATAGTCTAATAGCTAATCTTGGTATCCTAAACAGGGCCAGCATATGAAATCAAAATTGACACTGATAAATACTGGCTCTTAAGATCAGGAATTAATCACTATGCGAAACTAGAGCCAGTGAGTTTAGCTAGGTAACCACTCTTGGAAGTTTGGAGTGAGGAAGAGAGTAATTAATGAGCTATTTCAAAGTAATATATGCTTTCCCAAAATAAGCAAACTTACCACATGTCTCAGGCTGTGGAATAGCTGTAATAAAAAAAGGAACAAAGATGCAAATTATTAAGCATGTGTTTTTAATATCAGTGCTATAATCATCTCAGAGAAAGGTGATCCAAAGGTTCTGACGCTGTGAACCTGAGAGGTTAGGTAATTTGATTGAACAGATATTACAGGGTTCCCTGTGCCTAGTACAATATTTTAAACTCAAAACATTACCAGCAATCAATGAATGACCTTGTTAAAAAAAAATATACGGTGATACACTTACTGAAGAACCAGAGTGCGATGATAATGAAATCAAGACATCCCTGGGACACATCTGACTGTGGTGCATGGTAAATGACTAAATATGAATGTCACCTGAAATGTTATAAAGATTCTTCATCTCCTTAATTCACCCCAAAATAAATCTAAGCAATTATACTATAACTAGCTACACCGTTGTTAAGAAAAATATATCAGCTAGTTGGCAGGGACGGTTTCATATTCTAGTTTAACTTTTTGCACATAGAGTACAGGGAAGTGTTCTCTCGAGAAATGGAGGAGTGTCTCCCGAGAATGTGTGGTTTCAACTGCTGCGCTGGGCAGCACTACGACCGGGAGAGAAGGGCAGCCCTGTCAGTTCGAATGCTATTGCCCACGTTAAGGGCCCCTCATTTACCATCAAGTCACCCCTGGTTCTTGGGGACCCACATGTGTCACAGTAGAACTGTGCTCCATGGGTTTGCAAGAGGTGATTCATTTTTATCTTTTAAGTAGTTCGCTAGATCTTTTTTCAAAGGTGCTTGGTTGGACTTGAACCTCCGTCCTTTCAATTAGCAGCCACATTGATTAACCATTTGTACCACCCGAAACGCCATCGTCCTAATACCGTGACTGCTGGGATCAAATTGGGTGTAGTCATTTGTCTCCAAAGCCTTCATTCCCTTTTAGCTCCTTTTTTTCACCCCCAGCCCCTCACACTCGACTGGAACTCTGGCACGAGGCCGGTCCTCCCCACTGCGTGGACGGGAAAGCGGCATCACGACTCCCGTTCTCCTCTGTGCACACACCTTTCTCGTAGAGAAACGGGTTCTAATCGTTTGTTCAGTTCCCAGTTTTTTGCCTTTTGCCTTCCCCAAACCACACATCAGCCCGATGCGTCAGACCAGCAATGCTAACATGCTGATCCACATAGCTGTTGTGCTGACGACTGACCGCTGCCCCAGGCCCCGGGATTACAACACTTGATTCCACTAGGCAGAGAGAGGACCCCGAGGGAGAGCGGCAAGGAAGGCCCGCGGTGCCCGGGCCGCATGACTGAGGGTAAGGTTGTCACCTATGGCTGTGGAAGTGCTTGGAGGAGAAGTGCTTGCAGAAGTGGTCGGGGGTGAATCTGCAAGGAAACGAACAGAGGAGAAGAGTTAATGAGTTTGTCTGATGGAAGGGTGAGGGGCAAACTCTTTAGCAAAGGTCATGTCCTCTGGGAGTCCTTATTTGCATTCGTACTTGTTTTTACAGTAAAGTAGTGGATCAAAGAATCATCCGCAAATGGCCCTCTCAGATGACTGATATTTCAACGGTGCTTTTTTAAAAATTTCAATCGTTTTTATGAATATCTTGAAGTAAACATGGCAAAAATCAAGCAGAAACTCTTGCTTCCTCAGTTATAAATCTTACCTGATGTGCAAATGTCCTCCAACTTATCCTTTCTCTATTCATCACCACTCTCCTTGTGTTATATGCTAAGAAGGACAACAGTTCTCTTTGGAACACACATTACCGACCAGGCTTTAAACAAGCTTGTTCCTCCCACCAAACCGATGAAATGCACATCAGGATATGCATTTTTACAGAATGGAAAACCGGCACTCAAAAAGTGCTGCCAACTTGTCGGAAGACCAGCTAGAAAGTGACAGAGGCTGGAGTTATCTTTCTTCTTGGCCATGAACTATCGTAATACTAATAATATAACAACCTATGACCAGATAAAAGCTTACTAGCAACATTCTTTGGTCCAATTTAGTCACAAGCTATTAAAAAAATTGCAAAACAGGCTACCAGCAAAAAAAAAAATTGGGGGCTTGAAAGAAAAATTATGCTCAAGTTCAAGTTTCCATTCCATTACTCATTGCCTAAAATGCCTAAAGCACCATAGTCAAACCTGAGGCTTGATCTTGGGAGGTGACGTTCGAGGTGATGTTGGAGGTGCGTGGAGGTAAGGCAGCCGCAGGGCTGCTGGGTGCAGGGCTGAGGGAGGCTACAGAAGGGAAAGCCATTTCTGTGGGAAAGGATGTGCTCCTCTCTCCTGGGGTACCTGCAATCAGAAAGGTCGCAATGCTGTCACTTGCTTCTGTCCCACCCAGACAACGGCCGATAAACCTATTATTCCACAAAGACGAGGCTAAAACATCAAGCTCATGGGAAAGCTGCATCAAGAGGGACATCGTGTGTAAACCATGGAGTTTTGTAAGCAGAGGACAAGTACATTTGAGGGGAACGTTTTGAGAGCTCAGGAGAGAGGTTGTTCCTTGTGATCGAGTCTCCTCTAACCCGAGGCCATTTGGCAGCGCAGAGTAGCACTGTGTGTCTCCATGGGCTTTCAGAGCTGTGACTTATTCAGAAGTTCATTGCCAGGTCTTTCTTCAAAGTGTCCTCTGGGAGGGTTCAAACTGCCACTCTTTGGCTGAGTAGAGAAACACTTAACCATCAGTACCACTCAGGGACTCCAAGAGCGCCTACAGCGCACAGGAACAAAGCACCAGGGAGAGGGGAGCCGGATGCTGGCAGCCTGGTGCTGAGACCCTGCAGATGGAAGTGGGGCTCTGAGTTGAAAAGACCACATGAAAGTTGGTACAGGAGGAAGCACCGCCTAACACATGCTCAGAGCTTCCGAGGAGGAGCCCCTGGCTGCCAATGCTTAGGTTTGAGTCTCTTATCCTTCTGTGTAGCAGCTCAGGGGTGTGTGTGTGTGTGTGTGTGTGTGTGTGTGTGTGTGTGTGTGTTTTACTTTTCCAGCTTATGGTTCCAATTCTACTTTGACTCTTCCTTGCCAGGCAAAATCAAGTGGCTTTAGAACCAAAGAACTGTCACATGAGGCTGATACCATCACTTTATTTTCTAATTTCATATCTGCAAATTGGTATTGCCAAGCTAAATGCAGTAGCAGAAGAAGCTGCAGTTTCCATTCAATCAGACTTGCACGCTCAGGTTCAAGGCACCTAATGCCTGAGACAACTTCCCCCAGACACCGCGCACAGCATTGCAGCCCGGGTGGCCAATGTATTGTCAAATACTACCAAATGAAAATTCTCCCTCTCCCTCCCTCTCAGCTACCCAATAGATTCCAATAGGCCAAGAGTACTCTGGACATCTCTGTAGCGTGGGGAGACCTGTCCCTGTGGATTTCCTGACTGTCAATCTTTACAGGAGCACAGAACCTGTAGAATCCTGTGGGTTGGTTTGTGGGCCCTTATTCACCTTCTTCCTTATTCTTCTCTCACCATTTCCTATTGTCCTGCACATCCCTGTGCTAGTCTATGGCCCCCTGCAGCCTCCAGGAAGCTCCCCACATGCCTGCTTTTCCCCTTCAAGTGGAAACCCCATTTCCCTCATTGTATAGATGAGAGTGATGGAAAATAGGAGAGGCGTTTACTGTTTTAATTAGATAGAGCAATCCTAAGCGATTTGTAATTATTGAAATTAGTCACTGTGAGAAGATGAATTCCCTGAGAAGGACGAGGGGGGCAGCTTGTATGACCATCAAGGGGGGGCCTGTGTCAGTCCACTTTTGTTGCTTTACAGATTCTTTCCATCCACAGCTTTTGACTCTGTAAATTTGCTAAAATGCCCAAAACCCATTTACTGCAGTGCCTATAGCACCTGGAGTGTGTACAATGATGGGGGGAGGGGGGCCAAATATAAAACAGTATTATGCCCTACACAACTTTTTCCTCCTGAACCTGTATTCCCACAATCCTTGGTCTTCATTGCCTGGGAAAGGACATTTGTTAAGTCGTGCATTATACCCTTAGAGTAATTCTAGAAGTATGAAGTTTCAAATCCACCCACTAGCAACTGCTGCGCCAGGAAACAAGTGTTTGCGCTTCTTGGCGCCACTCTTAAACACAGGTCACTGTCATGCACTCTTCCTTCCTATTGACACAAGTCTAAAAGACCCGCAAACCTGTTGTGTCATTCCCGCCCTGAGCAGGGTTGAGTGCAGGAGGAGCAGCGCTGCCGCTGGGTGTGTGGTTGTCAGATTGTCCGGCAGAGGGCGCTTGCGAGTCTGCGTGCGTGGAAAGGTGAGGAGGCGTCGGTGCTAGGGGGACACCTAAGAGGAGAAAGTGAGAGCATTACATCACCCTGCCGCCGCTTCTGAAGAAGCAGCAAAATGCACTAACCCGTAGTAGGTTCTTAGCGGGAAAATTGCTGTTGCCCTTTATTCAGTGTGAAGTGCCCCATCTAGGAAAAGGAGCCCGCTGGGTTCTTCGGGCAGTCAGGGGTCACCTGTGCTCACAGTCGTGCGGGCCCTGAGGTTGGGAGGTTTCCCCGGTCTGCGCGGGGCTAACGAGGACTCACATTTCCAGGGTGTGGAGTTTGGGTTGCCCTGTGTTGGTGTTACTTCTAAATCAATATGAGATTTTTTAAAAATTCTCCATTAACTCACCAAACAAGGTCCATGCTCCCAACTTTAAAAGAGTGGAAATACTCCCGGAAGAAGTTAAAAAAAATAAAATAAAATCGCTAGGTTGTCAATCCTCAATGTGATTTAACAAAAATAAAACCAAAGTGTTGTTATCTCCAGAAAGGCAAGGCATCAGACTCTGGAGTGGAGTGGAAAGATGGGGCCACTTCTGCTTTGGGGCGCCTGTTAGGGGGGCTGGATGGTGCATCCATCAACAAATAGTTAACGGGCACTCAATAAGTCCTCCCTTTACACACTAAAATAAAACTATTTACTTAGAAACAGCACAAACATTAAGTCAATGAAGAAAAAAAAAAAACTGCCCTAATGATTTTTGAATTCCCAGGTATTGGAGAAGAGAAGTTTTGGTGAACACCATTTCACATAATTTCCCTGTGCCAACCTGCCAAATCAGGAGCACTAGTACTATTGAAAGTATCCAGGAATGCGTGGGGTGGACTAGTGCCTGGACTCAGAGGAGGAGGCGTGGTCTCTGAGGAGCCAAGATCTGGTTCAGAGATGCTTGCAGGTGAGAGTGCAGTGGTGGCAGCAGGTAAGGGGTCAGTTGGAGACAGAGCACTGGGCTCTTCTGTTACAGGCAGTCCTGTCTTATTAGTGGGAGCTGGAAGAAGGAGAAAATAAACATGTGAATCATACTCTGAAAGCTATATTCAACTGACAGTTAAGTCCTATGTACACGTAGATAAATTATCTGTATCTAATTGTTACATATGGTGTAGGTATATACAAATACATATGCAAATAAATTTGCAGCTCTCATTTGCACAAATACAGACACAGAAATATAAAACAAATGACAAAACAGCGGCTACAGGAGTAAATGGGCAAATGAGTTGAAGGACGGGGTCCTCTGCCCTCTTTTCTCAACTTTCCAAAGCACTTTGGCTCAGAATAGAACCAAGTCAGTGAAAAGGAAATGTGCAAAAGAGCTTTAAGGAAGGTACGAGACAGAGAAGGTGGGAAAGAGATTAATAGACGGACGGGGTTCAAGGAGTAAAACGGAAAGGCGCAGACACTGTCTACATAATTATATATTTAAAAATAGGTCAACTTCAAATCACTCAAGAGAACAACGGACAAAGAACTGGAAAATTACATTCATAAACATATGCAAACAACCTAAGTACATAGAAATGTTTCAACTTCATAAAAGAATAAAATATTAAAATTGTAGACATTAAAAATGTTCTCCAATATTCGCATTCATTTTTATAAAAGGGAAGAAATAATAAAGGGTCAGACAGGTCCAGACACAGCTGACATGCAGGTAGAAATAGTCCAATCTTCCTGCAATGAAGTTAAGACCATGAACCAAAGCTCTCTTTAAAGTATCTGTGCTCTGTTACTAAACAAAATATACTTACTTTCTAACAATAAAGGACTATCCCATTATTGTTCTAGTATACCCTGTAATTATTGATGGTGCAATTATAGATCTGTATTTTCCCCAAGTTTCAAAGTTTAACATGCTCAACTTTAACATGACTTCAAAATGTTTCACAGGGTGCTTCCAAACACTTGTGAAAAAATTCCATATTTTCCTTGACCATTTTGAAGCCCCTCTCGGATTTCCAGAAAGAGAGCAAAACATATTTTTAAATATTCGATGAACATAACATTTTGTCTATTATATGAATATTTCATTAATTTTATTGATTTTAATTAATGGGTCACAGAAAAGAGCACAAACAAGGGGGAGGGACTGGAGAATGTGAGAAACTAGCAAAAGAGTAAAATTGATGGGCTATGATGGAATTAACACATGGAATTGAGTGGATACTCAACGGGGAATAAAGAAAATGAGAAAAAGATATGACACAAAGAAACCTTAAATCTATTCATTAATAGATTCCTTTAGGAATCCAGGTAAAATGAAATCATTTATTACTATTTTCAACAGAGAGAAAATTAATCTGATGCCTATTGAAGTTCTCCAACGCCAATGCTCATGAAATCTTGGAGAATTATTCTGAGATGCCAGAATCCAAGGTAATAATAGGACAGTTGTTATTCATTATGCATTGTCCTTTGCCCATGGTCATCCTCAATCTCCACTTAGTATCACACTTTAACCCATAATTGCGTGCAGTCAAGTAATTAACAAGTAGCTCCATCGTGGTTTTGATATCAAATTAAAAATCCAACTTTAGAATTCTCTCATCGGCTTTGCGTCGGGCGGAGGGAGGAAATGGAGAGAGGAGGGGAAGAGGGGAAGGGGGCCGCAGGGGCTGAAGCTGGATGAGAAAGGCTGGAAGCAGGGATCATCCACTTCAACTTCTGCTCAAGAACTCATTCCTATCTTAATTCACTCCATCTCAAAATGGCCCAGAAGGACGGTGTAGAACTAGCCCTAAGGTTGTCGAGGCTGTAGTTTCCACAGGAGCAGGCTGCCTCATCTTTCTCAAAGGGAGGCCTAGGGATTTGGAAGGCCAACTTCCAGTTAGCTGCTGAACATAGTCCATGCACGCTAGGACGCCCAGTGATGATCCGTCACTCTGAGGCTACACTAACGCTGGGCTTGTCAGGATGCCAAGGATCCTTTTGGCGTTGCCAGAAGTATTGCAACATGCTCGCTTTGTCAGCCACTCCTATTGTGCATTAGCGTGAACTGCCGGACCAGGAGGAAACCACTCAGCACGCCTCGTGCGATAGAGAGTACTACGGTATTTGTGAAAAGTGGAGCATTATTAAGATTGATTCTAGCTAGAAAAAGTCTGAGATACACGAACACGCGGTGTTCAGAAAACTGCCTATCTACCTGGAAGCCTGCATAGCCTCGCGCACTTCTTAAACTCAGAGCATATTCCTTAGTTTCACGAACAGGAATATAATTTCGGCTTGAAAGACAACTTTCAATGGACACTCCCACATTGCCCCTGTACCCATTTTTTTTCAAATGACCCTGAATTTATGGGGGGTGGGGGTGGGTTGGGGAGTCTGTAGCAACAGTTAGAATTTCATTGGAATTCCTCTTAATAAACTCATGTGTTCTTTTCATGTTTCACTCCTTATTCCAACCCAGACTCATTTCCCTCCTGCAAAAATAACCACGTATGTTTACATGGGCTTGCCAAAACTAATTTTTTTTTAATGGCCTATGAGTTCTTGTGTCTGGAGTGTGTCCCGTGAATGTTTGCCTCGGAGCCGCCCCAAGCCACAGAGTGGACCTGTTCCCAAGGACTAGCTCGACTGTCCTCTTGCTGGAAGTGATCCCCAAGAGCTCCTCCCACTGCAGTGCTCCGCCTTCGCGGCACCGGGGCTCTCCTGAACCGCACAGCACACGACAACAGCGGGCAGCAGAAACCAATAATAATGTGTTGTGCGTAAATGGCTTCCCCATGTAAGGATTTATTGAAACTCTAGGCCAAACTATAACACAATAAAATTGTAACTTCCACACTTTGAAAGTTACGCCGATTCAAGAGCATTTTTGTGACTCTTCGCGCAGCTCTTCGTTTTCTGTCGTTGAAGTGATTTTTTAGTTAATTACAAAAATAAGCCCTGCAGCAGCATACATTCTCGGAGCATGTCCTTCCTTCAGACCTGTGCCTTATGACTGTCAAATCAGAATGGGCCCAATGGCTTTGCTTAGCACCTTATTGCACGCTGTCAATCACAAGCACTAGCAAGAAATAAAAACGTATTTTCAAGGCCAACAGAAATGGTATTGAAGACATCATTGATAATTCAACTATGTGCAATTTTTTTTTTAATTTTGTGTATAGTGTGTATGAATTGATTGTCAGCATCTTCCTTTTTAAATTTAAGTATCTCCGGATACGGATCAACGCTAAGCTAATTAGTTCGGTTATGCCAGTAGAATTAGGGAATATTAATTACAAAACATCTTAATAGTCTCAAAGTATGTGCATATCTTTGAAAAAGGAAAAATTCTTATCTAAGGATAACTAATATAGAAAACAATGTTTAGAAATCATGTCAACCCTATATAAAGCAGAGTAGAACGTCTCCTCAGGTTTCTGAGACTGTCCATGTTTCCAAAATTTGGATCTTGCAATTCTATACACTGGCAATTTTTTATTATTTTAATACAATCATATAGAGACAATATATTCCAATAGATTATCAAATTGTATACTTTACAAATAAATATTTTAAAAACAACTGAATGGCAAGAATCATTCGTGAGTATAATACGAGTTCTTTTAAAGTTAGTTTTCAATGGATAATAGAAAATCTACTAACACCAAATACATACACTTCACACAAAGTCCATTCACTGAATAATAGAAAATATGCTGCTATCAACTATGTAACATTTACAACAAGAAAGTAAAATGCAAAAGTAATTCTTACCAGTACTAGAGGGTGCTGATGATGCCTCTTGCCCTGTAAAGAGGAAAACAAACATCACTTAGAAGTGTTTTTAATTTTATACATATATAAATGCATGTTAGACGTGCATACAGATTATAAACCAAACTCAATGCCATCGAGTCAATGCTGACTCCGAGCGACCCTATAGACAGGGTGGAGCTGCTCTTGCAAACTTCTGAGAGCGTGACGAGTTGCAGGAGTGCAAAGTGCAGTCTTGCTCCCACAGTGACTGGTGGTTTCTAACTACGGACCTTGCAGTTAGCAGCCCAAGCGTAACCAGAGCGCCTATATATACTATGCACCTATGTATCTATGTACATGTTATATGCAGGGGCTTCAAAAGTTATGGAAAATAAAAGATAGTGGAATTTTTTCATGAAATTTTTAAAGCCCCTCACATGTTTTAGATCAGAGGGTAAATCGAAAGTATTGCAGCCAAAGCATAGAAACCTCTCCTCAACAGACCTATCAGAATGTGAAGCTACTGCATCTCTCGACACAGCCTCCGTCTACGTCACTGCACTTCTGCAGGTAGTATGGTCTTCGCTCTAACCTTCCCCCAAAGAATTCTGAGCAGTGTGGGCATCCCCCCGGGACCCAAATCATGATCCTTTTCAATGCTCTTTGAATTTGGGGAACAAAACAAGTCTGAAGTGGCAAGATCGAAGTGTTCATGTGAGGAGGTAAGGTTTTTCGGTGGAAGTTTCAAAGGATGCCTCCTACTACCTGCTAAGGAATGAGTTGGTGCATTTTTCTGATGCGGGAGAAAACAAATAATCAAACAAACAAAATCTCTTCAACACAACTTGCTTGGCTTTTTTCCTAACCAATGCAGTTTTCTATTTTCTTATAACTTCTTCCTCAAAAACCCCGGTGATCATCTTTCATTATTTGAACAAGTCTACCAAGATGATTACGCCTCTAGAATTCTAAAAATTAGTCCCCATAACCAATGGAATGTAGGGGGCCAGCAAAGCCCTGCTAAAGTCACTGTTTGTTGGGGTTTTTTCTACTGAAGACGCTAGCAAACTTCAGACGGGTGCATTACTGGGATAATGTTTCTGATTTCATCCACTTATCTCAAAGACATATTTAAACACGTTTTATTTTTAATAAACCTGTGCATGAACTGGAATCTTAGTAGCAATAGATTTTTACTTGACCTCTTATACTTTATATATCAATTAACATTTTCAGAGCAGTAATGTCCAATAGTTTTATCCCAATAATACGATATTCCTTTTCATAATGCCATGTTTACCAAACCCACATATGTCAAAATCATATTACTTTTTCTACCTAGGCAAATTTTTTTAAATGAAAATAAGCAAAGCCCACATGGAAGAAGCACACCAGCCTGTGTGATCATGAGGTGTTGATAGGATCGGGTATCAGGCATCAAAGAACAAAAAGTCACAACATTGTGAATGAAGGGGAGTGCAGAATAGGGACTCCAAGTCCATCTGTAGGCAACTGGACACCCCCTTACAGAAGAATCATGGGGA